TAGTCACGTGCGTTGTGATTGGCTTATTGGCAATGACGTGCCGTAACCGTGACGGTTCAGTGACCGACCATTCTCATTTGATAATCAGTAGTCATACGTATTGTGATTGGCTTATTGGTAATAATTTAAGGTGCCGTAACCGTGACGGTTCCGTGACCGACCATTCTTATTTCATAAGCAGTAGTCACGCGTGTTGTGATTGGCTTATTGGAAATTAAGTGCCTGAACCTTAACCATACCGTTACTCTCCATTCTGACTTGATGAGCAGCGAGTCACGAGCGCTATGATTAGCTTATTGAAAATGACTTGTCGAGACCGTGATGGCCTCATAACCCACCAATCTTCTAAATCCTCAATCCTCGATAACAAAACGTTCTTGTCTTGGTGCTGCATAGGTGCATTTTTTTCTAACAGTGGAACTTGTTCCTTTTCAGTTGGTCTTTGGGAAAGTATGAATATTAACGTGGAGGAATGTAACACAATCGTAAAGAAATATATTCAGCAGCACGGCACACGCTTTCCAAGCCAGCTGGGTAAGTCACGTGTTCTTGAGGACTCAATTGAGCTGAGTCACGTGGTCTAGAAGGCGCGAATAGAGGCTTTGCACCATCACGTGATGGCAGCTAGGACATGAAGCAAAAACAGTTGGGTCTTTTACCCCCAGGGAAACTGTATTATATCTCATTTTGTATAGAACGGTCTGAATCCAGGTGAATGAATGTTAATCGAAGTATTATGATCATCCGGGTGGATGTAGTCCTGAGAAGGAGTGTTTGATGTGACTGACGTTTCGACAACCGGAGCGGAAGTCATCTTGACTCTGAAGTCACATCAAACAGTCCTTCTCAGGACTACATCCACCCGGATGATCATAATACTTCGATTAATATATCTCAGTTAAATCAGATTAGACTAGATTCAGTTGTTCCTACCTCCTGCCATGGTGCAATGCTTCCATAGATTTCATAAAAATTTGACGCAAATACTGTGTTTTTCTTACTTGGACAGGACATGACCTGCCAAGGGAGAAGAGAGTCAGCCTTCTCATGTTTATTGTAAGTCAATTTCCTTGTTAGTAGTACATTATGGTTCATTTATTTGTCTGTCCATCCATTAATTCGCCCGTCTTTCCATTCCTCTGTCTGTCTTTCTGTCTGTATATCCTTCCATCTCTAAACCTCTGTCTCTCCGTCCATCCGACTACCCTTCACTCCACTCCTCTGTCTCTCCGTCCATCCGTCTACCCGTCTCTCCAATCCTCTGTCTGTCCGTCCTTCTACCCGTCTCTCCAATCCTCTGTCTGTCCGTCCTTCTACCCGTCTNTCTACCCGTCTCTCCAATCCTCTGTCTGTCCGTCCTTCTACCCGTCTCTCCAATCCTCTGTCTGTCCGTCCTTCTACCCGTCTTTCCATCCCTCTGTCTGTCTGTCCTTCTACCCATCTCTCCATCCCTCTGTCTGTCTGTCCTTCTACCCGTCTTTCCATCCCTCTGTCTTTCTGTCTGTCTGTCTGTCCTCTAATATATTTTCTTGGTTTTTTGTGTCAGGTTCTTCAGTACCTAATGGACTTTGATGCCGCGCATTGTATTCCTCTTCCTTCTACAGACTTCCGTCTGCCCTGGAATATGTCCGGACAGGCATAATTTGTTTTGTTTTTACTTTATTTGGTCATCCTGCGAGCTTTTATTTTCTAAGTAATCATCCCATCAATAACTGCCCCTAGGGCTACACAATTAGTCAGTTATTCCTCTAAATTGCAACGATAAATCCCCTTGATACCATTAAGCGATGGACAGCCGTAGTTAGGGTAACAGTCGCATAGCAACGGCTACTTTTTTCGATCGTAAAAACTTATTATCTAAGATTAGATAAAACAATGTAAGGATTAAACCTCCTTGGTTTCTTAGACACCCAGACTAGGGTTTTGAGACATTATAGTTAGTATGATAGCAGTCGCATACCAATGGCTTCGAAAATAGAAATCTGACTCTAACTTTGCACTCCTTGGTCTGCTTGGCGTGTCAGTGTTGTCTGCCCCCACCCCCCCAGAGGGGTTCCTCTGTATGAAAATCTAACCAGCTTAATTTGAATTCGATCTTTGAGCTAGCCATGCTCTGACTTTGACCAACCCAGAGGTTGTTTCAGGCTTTGCTCTGTGCCCGGTTAACCTTGCCCTGACTTAGATCAGCGCAGAGGTTATTTCAGGGTTCGATCTGTGAGTTAGCCATGCCCTGACTTTGATCAGCCCAGAGTTTGTTTCAGGGTTCGATCTGTGAGTTAGCCTTGCCCTTACATTGATCAGCCCAGCGGTTGTTTCAGGTTTTTATCGGTGAGTTAGCCTTGCCCTGATTTTGATCAGCCCAGAGGTTGTCATTTCAAAATTCGATCTGTGAGTTAGCCATGCCCTGACTTATATCAACCCATAGGTTGTTTCAGGGTATCGATAAAGATTTTTCTAAGACCAAATAATCTGCAAAAGTCAACTGCAATGCAAATCATTTCGACCTTGAACAATGCCAATGTTGTTTAAAGGTATCGATAAAATCAGAGAGTCTTTAACTGGTAGACTTTTATCAGTCGGTATTTAATATCACGCGTCAAGCTGTGCTTACAATAGCTTGTCATTTCCTTACTAAATTAGGTATATAGAGTGCTCACACTAAATCCGTGAAACAAATACTAATTTTTAGCACTAAATAGTGATAATTAGACAATAGAAAACAAAGGATTCTTTATGAAATAGTACTAATTAGTACTATTTAATGTTCACGGTTTTAGTGCGTGCACTCTATACACCGAATCGAAATATGGCGACCAATTTGAATAACTATTGTTCTGCACTGACTAGCGACTGACTAACCTCGTGTTCACGTGAAAACATAAAAGCATTTTCACATGTATGAGAGGCTAGTCAGTCGCTAGTCAGTGCAGAACAATAGTTATTCAAATTAGTCGCCATATTTCGATTCGGTGTACAAAAGTTGTAGGCGAATGAAAGTAGAATTGAATGGAAATAGACAACAAAATCTGTTATGCGTAGTGTTGGGATTCCTGTGGTAAACTGTGAGGGGTTTGATTTGAAATCATTTCATAGAATTAAAAAAACCAGTCCATCATATTCATGTAACTTCATAGAAACGAGAATCATACACAAGGGAGTGGTATGCTTTAAAYTAATAAGAGGTGAAAGTATTTTTCACCAATACTCCAGTTTCAATTTCTCTGTTGCTCAGGGTTAGCCTCAACTTTGTGTAGAATACTTGTGTTCTAGTGAATGTCCGTGGAATTGCAAAGTGTTTGAATTGTTAAAGTTGTGCACGCTTTACTTTACCGTTGGTATTTGTGAATATTTAGACTGATTTGAGGCTATACCTGAGTAAATGAGTCTGTAATCAAGAAACACAGCGGTATTTTGGGACTCGAAAAGGTCCATATTGGAAGAAAACTTCTATACAATGAAACTAGATGTCTGCTTAGAAGAGGTAACATTTTATCTCGCTATATGTGGTTTGCAACCCAGTAAAATGAAGTTAAGAAATACGTGGCCACCACCGATGAACACAGAGGTAAGCAATAGAAATTCCTTTGTTAAATTCAACCAACATGGCGGCGCGCGCTTAGAAAACCATTGTTCAAAATCTAAGTTCTTAATATTTCTTACGTTCCGTGTCTCACCAGTAGTGTATTGTCTCGATGGATTATTTCTGTGGTCGTTTGGCCACAACAAGCCCCTCCTATCTCATTAACTCACTAACAAGATCACCTCATCCATCAACAATTATAACTTATCGCGCGCCTCATTGATGTCGACTAGGTAGGGTATTTCGCTTCCTACTTATGCAGGGAAAATATTGTTTATCAAATCTGATCACCTAGCGCAGACTGAAGGCATACAAAATAACAAAAACCGCGAGTCAGAATTTAACCATTCTGCAAAATGCGCGATTTGACATTCATTCAATAGGATATGTTTTTCTGCACCAATCAGCGCACTCTATAAAGAGTCTCTCTGAATTGGCGCAATTCAATTCTCAGTATCTATCTGAGCATTTAGCTATTAGCAGTCCTTTAAATGTTAACAATAAAATCTCTCTAACCGCGTTGAACATGGAAACGCTAGGACTATCCTGTCCAATCATCAAATCCGTTCTTCATCTGAGTAACGCAAACCAATAGGTAACTTTATTAAAGGGGCGCACACTTGGGAATCGAGATTTACGTAGCGGTAGTGCATTCGCGTCTCTAGCCTCTCTGGGGTTCCGGGATCGATTCCCTGATGGCATCGATCGCATGCGGAATAGGGTTTGTTAGGTCATGTAAGGTCTCCTTCTTCTGAAGGTTTTTCTCCGACTTTCCTCCCTATGCAAAGCATATTGTTACAAGCCTAATTCCGATTCCATCATTGAGAGTTAATTTTCAGGATATCGGTGATAAAATTCAAGATTTTTATTTTCGTGTGAATGTTATAGCGCGTTATACCTATTTATGAAGTAATCATAAAATCGCTGCTCTAATCATCAGTGAATGCTCTGCGCAGTTCATTAAACGTCAATTTGAATCGATTTTCAGGAAACGCGCAATAAAGAACAAAGTTTTTAATTTAGACTGTTAAAGCGCATTATACGAGTGCGCGCGTAGCCTGTTTATGAAGTAACCATCAAATCGCTCGCTCCTCGCATTAGTAAACTTTCAGTGCAGTTCATTAAACGTTTCGTTCATCAGGAAGCACGTACAAGGAAGAACAATTATTCACATACGAGTGCACGGCGTCCCGACGAACGACTTTTTTGCGGTTTTTGGCTCCGCCTATGTGATTAAAAAAAATCTTACCGAGTAATCAATTCACAATCCATCAACAAGAAATCTGTCAAAGACGCGGTCATAAACGATGGGTAAAATGTTAGAAATGTCACTGCTGGGATTCTTTGAGAACATCCGACGTTCGTAATGTAACCCAGAAGTGTGATTTGATTACAAAAATTTGGCCAATTGTTGGTATTTAAGATCGATATTGGTGGTTATACTTTTAAGTAGCTTGATATACAGATTTTTTAAAGTACCTGGAATAAGATAACACGAAGAATTATTTCTATCGCCCTTTTCAATTTCTGAAGCAGATATAGGTAGAGGTGCACGCTTTTCAAGTACAAAATAAGAGCAGATTGTTCTTTTGAAAAGAACAATTTTATTTCTTCGTAAGTATAAAAGATGAGTCTTTTTGCTTGATTCGTAAAATCGGAGGGATAAGATTATTACCTCTTCAAAGGAGATTTTTTCTAGCGGTTCTCAACGGCTAAAGCCGCTTCACACTGTAATTGTCTTGACCTAGGTTGACTTTACACATATCTATGGTAGCCAAAAAGGACAGGCGAGTTGTACTAGCTTTGCAATCATCAGCGTTCTCAAGTAATTTGCGTAAAAGAAAGCGGTTGCGCTTTCGTTGAGACCTAGAAGATGAGGCGGAATCCATCAGAAGATCCTATTGTAGCAATAAACCCTGGTAAAAAATCAAGAGCTGCTAGTTTGTAATTATTACTGATAGCAACGAAACAAAACAAAAAACACGCAAGAAAGACAACTTTAGCTTGATTTGTGCTTATTATGATCTCGTATAGGTAGAGCGGTTATCGTATAAGTACAGGAATTTACGGGCTCACTGCCTTACTGCAAGTAAACAGTACGGTACGATATGCCGCCATAACGGTGAAATGGCTTTTCATTGTGTTCGTATGAATTCATCCAAAAATGGCGCATAGTTCGTCAGTAAAACACGGTACGATTACAGACGACTACGAATATTTCGTATCGTTTCCTACTAAGTCAACTGGTCAACTATATTCACTAAACGCAAAGATCCTTGGCTGTGGATGTTGAACAAAAGCTTCTTTCTACTCCATCTCATTGAAGCTGTAGCATATGCGCGCAAACAAGCGAGTATCAAAAAAGATATTTGAAAATCGTGGCCAATGAATCTCAAAAAAATCCTTGCGATTGTAGATCTCGCTATAATTTCTCGATAATTGACCAAAACTGCACCGATAGCCCAACGACTCGTATGCACTTTAACGATTTATAATTGAACGAGGTGTTAATTGAATTGACACTCTCTCAGTGGAGGGGACAATGTTGAAGGTCCCCCTGAAGGTTGTCATTAGATTAGAAACCCAAAAAGGGAAACTCAAATCAATGTACCCGACATATATCCCGCTGTACTAACATGTACTCTCGTCAGTACGAATGTAACCTGGGATAAATTTTATTTTGTAACTTTGTAATTGAAACAAGATGAGAAAAAAGAATAAGTTCATCAAGAAAAGTTGTAATGATGTGAATGCATATTTTTTACGAGTCATGCCGTATTTTCAATTTGACATTATAGAGAAAATTGATTCCAAATTGTCTTGTCTTTATTTGTAAGATTGAAGCGCGCGCGTTAAGTAGAACTGTTTTCATGAGAGTGAGAGGCGTATTATAGCAGTACCCCATCGTACCGTAGCCGTAACTTTATCTACGCGTTGTGACAGGATAATTTACTCAACACTAGAAGACTGAGAAGCCATTTCAATGTTTTCGGTATATCGTTTATCGTATACCGTATGCATGATGAAGTCAGTACCGGAGCTTTCTTGCTCATTGAACATGCTATTCTGGTGTGTTTGTTCCCCCACCTGAGGAATCGGGAGACGATTGCGTTATCGGAACCAATCCTTTGACGTGAATGCAAACAAACAACAGAAGCAATTGGTTTTGAAGATAACAAACAAGTCGCATACCGGGAGAAACCACACTGTCACCATCTGTTGGAAACTAACCCTTAACATACCCTGCAACCTATACAAACACTCCTAAACACCCATCCCAACAACACAACCAACTAAAAAACCTACCTTACCAATAACATGAAAATATCTAACGAATTACAAGGTTTAATTTTGTTCGTTTCGTTACTGGGCCATAACTGAGAGTATGAACCGACAAGAAATATCGTATTATATTACTA